TGTCAAGAACAGCGGTTCCCAAGCTCCAAGGCAAGTTACGGTAACCCGGGTGCTTACCCGTGCTGTGCCCTCCCCATTCCCATTAGTAGGGATGTAGCCTGGGCATCAGCATTTTTAAGATCTCCCATTGCATTGTGGTTCCAATACAAGCTAAGGTTGGGAACCATTCAAGTAGAGGGTTTTGCAGAGAAGGGAAACAGGACCACAGAGATTGTGAGAGAGGGTAGAGAGAAGAGGCTGGGAGATATTCCAGAGGCTGGGGATGGAGGGACAAAAATAATATAGGAAGACCCCTGTGGTCTTGAGAACGGTTGAGGTCATGGACACAGGAGGAATTTAGTTTGAGATGGAAAGGAGAAACGACCACAAAAAGAATTTATAACCTAGATGGGCAAAGACAGTTTCACCCTATTGTCCCTCTGCTGAGCCCGTGGATGGACGTGCCCATCCTGAGCCCAGGCTGTACCAGAGTTGGTGGCCAACAGGTAGGACCAAAATTGTGTCAACCAGGGTGTTGGAGCTTCCCGGCAGAGGAAACAAACTGGGTCCAGACCACAATGGAATGCATCTGCACACCCACCCACTCACTCACCACCCTTCCCTCCAAGTAGCCAGTGAGCACCGTTCCATTGTGCCCTGGCTACAATGGTCACAGAGGACACGGGGCCGAGCCTACAAACCTGGCCTTGACCCTTGTGGATTTCATTCTTTGGGGTGCAACTGACTGTTGAACCATCAATTACAAATCAGAGTGGAGAGTGTGACATGATAGAGTTAGGGAGGGTGTGACAGGGGAGCACAAACAAGAAGGACACACCAGATGTGAAAGATCATGAGGGATCAGTGAGGTCTGCGACGTGAAGGATAGGAGGCATCAGTGGAGGAAGTGGGGGGAGAGGAGAGCATGGGAGAATATTCTATGTAGAGAGAATAGCAGGTGCAAAGATTTGGAGAAGCATATTTTATTTTTTAATTTGTTTTAGTATTCATTTTTGAGAAACAGAGAGTGTGAGTAGGGGAGGAGCAGAGAGAGAAAGACACACAGAATCCAAGCATGAGATTATGACCTGAGCCAAAGTTGGACACTCAACTGACTGAGCCACCCAGGTGCCTCTGGAGAAATGTATTCTAACAACTGGGAGAATTTTCTAGGGCCTGGAGCACAGAGAGTGTGTTGTGGGGGCAAGGAGGGCAGGGATGTGTCTTCCAATCTAGGGAGAGTAGGTGGGGAGCACCAAGGCGTTCTGAGCTGGGGGATACAGGATCAGACTTGTGTTTTGAAAGGACTCAACCTTCAGTGGATAGTTTGGGGGAAGGCAACAAGACTGGAGTCTGGAGACCAGTTAAAAGATGCTCCACATTAGCAGTCGTTAGGGAAATATAAACCAAAGCCACAATGAGATACCACTTCCCATCCACTAGGATGGCTATAACACAATAAAAACTACAGAAAATGATAAATGTTGGTGAGGATGTGGAGAGACTAGAATGCCTGGGCACTGTTGGTGGGAACATAAAGTGGTGCTGCTGCCGTGGAAAGCAGTTTGGCAGTTCCTCAAAAAAGTTAAACACAGAATGACCATATAACCTAGCAATTCCACCCCTAGATATATCTGAGAGAACTGAAAATGGAGGCTCAGATTTTTGTACACCAACATTCACAGCGGCATTATTCACAATAGCCAAAAGGTACAAATAACCCAAATGTCCATCAGCAGACAGCTGGATAAATGAAACATGGTCCATCCATACAAGGACTATTAGTCGCCAATAAAAAGAAATGAAGTGCCGGCCATGGTACAACATGGATGAACCTTGAAAACCTTACACTAAGTGAAAGAAACAGATACAAAGGATTCCACTTACATGAAATGTCTGGAATTGGCAAATCCATAGAGACAGAGAGCAGATTAGTGGTCACCAGGCACTGGGGAGGAGGGTGCAATTTCTTACTATGGGGTTCCTTTTGGGGTGATGAAAAAGATTTGAGACTTAGATAGTGGTGATGGGTACACATCACTGTGAATGTACCTAATGCTACTGAAGTACACACTTCGAAATAGTTAAAATGGTAAAGTTCATATTATGTGTATTTTAACACAATAAAATAAAATCAGACATTGTGTCATGAGCTACAGTCCTCGCAAGTTCCCAAAGCATTTTTCCTCTTCCTTCATCCAGCAAACATCTGGCAGTTTAGCTGGTGGTTTTCTTAACCTTTGCTCCCCTAGGAGAAGAGCCAGCTAGCTACAGGTGCCCCTGCCCCCAGACCCCTTGGCTGGCTATAATCAAATGGCAGCGTGGAGGGGGTGGGGTGTGGACGGGGTGGGGAAGTTTGAGGGGTGGAGGACGGTGAGGAGCAGCACTCGGTGGGCAAACAATGAGGCCAAAGTTTGGATCCTCACCGCCTGGGCTCAAAAATCGTCCTTCAGATCTCTATTTGGGGGGGGGAGCGCCCTCTGGCGGGCAATTGGAAAGCAACCAAATTCTAACACGTTTGTGCTCACAGGCCAGTGTGCACACTTGATGGTTGTGCTCACTGACGGCTCCCTAACCCCGGGAGTTTCTCTTCCAGCACTAGTTCCTCCTCGGGAACCCACCTGGACAGCCGTTGTTGATGAAAATGTATAAACCATACAAACACAGGCACAAAACATTTCTTCCCTTATGGATTTACTAACATCATCCACTCAACTGAAATTATTCAACTAGCAAGGTCCTGCCCAGCTCAGTGAGCTGCCCCCACTCCCACCCCCAGTGACTTTGTGGTCCACAGGGTAAGGCAGGAAAACAGCAGCTCCAGGTAGAGGGCTCAGAGAGCTGGTGGAGAACACCGCACAGGAGACCCACTGCTGCCTAAGGAAACCAGGGAGGCCAACAAGGGGGCAGTGGTGTCGGGCAGAGCTCAGTGTGAAGGCAGGACGAGCCCTCTGGGTATTAGGAACACTGCACGGCAAGGCCAGGCCCCTGCCCACTGTTTACCTTCCTCCCTGCATTCCTCCCTCTAACTCCACTGTCATGGGGAGGCCCCAACTCACTGCTCTTTACTATGTGTCCTTCCCGTGGCTGTGGATCCCACCTCCCTTACCTACTGTTCTTCCTACCCTCCTCACACCTGCGGCCCTGCTGTAGAAAGCTTAGGTTCTGTAGAACGCACTGCGATTCCTGTCTTGGATACCTCTCTTTCCAATACATCTTTTTTTTTTTTTTTTGATACCACTATATGCCTTTTATTTTTTTTTTTAATGTTTTATTTATTTCTAGGAGAGAGACAGAGAGAGACAGCGTGAGCAGGGGAGGGTCAGAGAGAGAGGGAGTCACAGACTGAAACAGGCTCCAGGCTCTGAGCCGGCAGTCAGCACAGAGCCCGACGCGGGGCTCGAACCCACGAACCGCGAGATCATGACCTAAGCGAAAGTCGGACGCTTAACCGACTAAGCCACCCCGGCGCCCCTCCAATACATCTTGAAGCAAACCCTGCCCTTTACTCTCAGGCCCACTGGCAGCTTGGGCCCTCCTCACTGTCCCACAGGGGCTCAACTTACGTGAGTTTGCAATATGAGTCTCCGAGTAAGATTTCTCGAGGGAGGGGGCAGTGGGTGTATGCTTCTTAAAGAGTTTGCAGTGTGCTGGCCTAGGCCTTCTGCGTGTCTTCCAACTCTGGCCTGCCAGGCGTCTAAGGCAGTGTCCACCCTACTCCCACGCCCGGTAGACCCCCAGTTGAGTTCTCCAACAGGAGCTCAGACTGGGCTGCCCCAGGGGCACCCTGGGATCAGGCTTGGGAGGAATCATTCCATCGCCGAGGGGCCCGGCAGCCTCACCTTTGTGGGTTCTGTGCTTCCAGTCCCTCCTGGAGAGCGGTCGGGGCTTCTTGCGCCCTGCAGTGAGCGAACTGGCCATCGGGAACAGCAGGGGGCCGAGGCTGCTGGTCAGTGGCTGCCAATGGCTTCTCAAGTGCGGGTCACAGGGCCCAGGACACGCAGGCCGGATGCCCCTGCCCTTTCTCGCTCAGAAGCCAAAATTGCCCGGGCGGGAAGGCAGCCACCCGGCTCCCCACAGAGCGCGCTGTGTCCCAGGGTGGGTGGGATCTGGAGCCTCGGGTCCCCACCCTGGGGGCACATGGACCCAGGGCGCGCAGGCCAAGGGCAGGTGGCAGACACACGGAACAGGTGGCCGAACTGCCCCTTACCTTGGTGGGCTGGAGGAAATCAGCAGAGCAGCGCGAGGGCTTCCTGGAGGCTGGGCCTGTGCTGATTGCCTGTGTGATTTCAGTGGCCGGCAGGCAGTGAGGGCATACTGGCGGATCACCGGAGCCACCTGGGACTGGCAAGCAGTGGCAGGGAGAACAAGAGTGGGGCTCTGGCCACTGGCAGCCCGATCGCAAGATGAAGCTAGGGCCCAGCAGAGTGGGTTCAGATCTGGAGCTAGAGCCCTGCGAGGCTTGAGACCAGTTGGACTTGCTGGGGACCATGCGGTCTGTGCTGCGTGCTGGCCTCAGAGCCGGGGAAAGGGACTTGCAGGGAGCTCTTGGAACCGTAGACTGGGGACTTGCAGAGAAGGCCAAGATTCGCTCATCTCTGGGTCCCCAGCACTTGGTCGGCCTTGGCCTATGGCAGGGGAAGGATGTCTTCCGTTCCCTATCAAGAGACTAGATAGCAGAGTGGGGTTGTGGTCTGGGGAGAGTGCAGACCTCAGAGGCGAAGAGGACAGAAGAGTCCAGAACATCTCAGAACCCTCAGCTCCCCTGCCAGGAGGAAAGGGACGATAGCCCAGGGGTAGCTGTGCTGGGCCTCTTGTTCCCCACAGATGACACTGGAGGCCTGTCCTGCCTTGGCCACCCCCTGACCTGCTGGGTACTGGTGGGAAGCTGTATTTTCCTCCAAGCTTCTATTTACCATCCTGACCTGGACAGGGCAGGAGCAGATGTTCTCAGGGCCCTTCCAGTGTGACAGGCCAGGATGGAAGGGTGTGCTGCAGAGACAAAACACACTGATAGGGACTGAGGGAGAAAGGCTTTTTTTATTCCTGGCCCTTCCAGGGCCACAGCTCCAGTTCAGAAAAACAGAAAAGCTTTTGTGAGGGGACAGAGGTCTCCAGTGCTATGGCTCCTTTGTCCAGATAAGGCTTCCACTGGGCCCAGGTAGCTCTGGGCTGGAGTCACATATGAGCACTGAGGCTACAGGATATCGGGACCACTGGATTTTATGAGGCTTTGCAGGTATCTAACTACTTTCTGCCTCCTCTTGTCCTTAGGATCTGAATAGAGGATCTGCCCTGGACAGTAACAGACCTACAGAGAGGGAGAAAACCCTCAGGGGCCATCTGGGTGGGAACAGCCTTGAGTTCTGGTACCAGCCCTCACCCTACACGGACAAGGGCCTGAGACCCAGAAGACCATGGTCGCATAGAACATTGGTAGCAGGTCCCGGACACATTGTCTGCAGTGGCTGACGCTCCTAGAATCCCTTCCTTGGTCTTGCCTCAGCAGAGAAACTGCCAGATGCTGCTGTGACCCAGGACTGCACTGACATAGGAGTGCTGTGGGTTTCTGGCCTGGGTAAGGGACATTAGCAGCTGATTTGCTGGGTGACCAAGCCATCCATCTTTGGGCCTGTTTCTAAGTAAATGGTCTGGGGCACTTTAGGGTCTAGAACTAAACAGAGGTACGGGGTCAGTTAGGGGGAAGAAAGACCTTGCTCCTTCTTATGTTCTGAAGGGTTCCAGGGTCTGCCTCTATCCACACTCAGCTCCCAAGAGCCTGGGGGCAGAGCAGTGGATAGGGACTTCCACAATAATGGCATCCCCAGGACATTCTGCTGAAGTCCTATACCATATCATTAGCTTTCCAACAGGAATGGTGCCTTTGAAATGCTCAAGATAGCACCCCTGGCCAACACTGGTGGCTCGAGCCACAGAGCACACAGGCGGCCTCTGGGGGTGTACGGTCTCTGTGTATGTAGGGTCCACTGTGAATATAAGTGTATCTATGGGAAGGTCTGTGGAAGAGAAGTTTGGGGGCTCCCTGTTTTTGACTGTGTGCATGTTTTTTCACACCTTGGAGGACTGAGCCTGAACATCTCTTTATTAGTCATTTTTACATCTTTTTAAAAACTGCCTGCTAGTGTCATTTTATGGGTTGCATACTTATCTTTCTCTTAATTGTATATTAAACTTTTAATTATATATTAAACTTATTTATATCACAAAATTTTCTACCTTTTGTACTTTATCTTTTAACTGTATTTGGGATTATTAAGTACATATATATTTAACTCTGAAAACTCGGTGTATCAATATGTTCCCTTATGGCTGGTTTCTAGCTTTCATATGGTGCTTAGGAAAGGTTTTCTCCATTCCACGAAAATACAAAATGTACTCATCTTCTCTAAGGAAATTTTTATTGTTTGTCCTCTTTACAAAAGTGATGCATGCTTGTTGTCAAAAAAGAAAAGTAAATTTAGATAGACCTAATATCTTCTTGAGTTTTCCTGGCCAAGAACAAGGTTTCTCTCTTTCCCCCATTTATTTTTCCTTTTGTGGCCCTCACTGGAGATTTATTTCTCCATATAGATCCTGTGTAATAATTAAGTTTATTCCTAGAAAAGCCTCTTTTCTTGATGCTGTTGGGAATGGGATCCTTTCTTTCATTATACTTTCTAATTGGTTGTTGGTATAAGACAAGCTATTCATTTTTGGATGTTACTTTTTAACCAATCATCATTTCTGATTTTAGAAGTAAAATGGAAAAGATTTGTTTCCATGTGAAGATGCTACATTCATTTCCTTCTCAGAGTTTTTTATCAGGGTGAATCTGATGATACTTGATCCATTTCATTAATCTTAAGAGTTTTCTGCTACATCCTTCTCATTAGGATTTTCCTTCACTATGGACACTTTGATGCTGACTAAGTTGGAAGCTAAACCTGAAGGCTTTCCCACACACATTACACACATAGGGTTTCTTCCAAGTATGGACAGTCTGATGTATTATACAATCAGAACTATAGCTGAACCCTTTTCCACACTCCACACACCTAAAAGGTTTCTCCCCAGTGTGGCTTCTCTGATGCCGAATTAAATGGGCATTAACATGGAAGGCTTTTCCACACTCCTTACATTGAAAGGGTTTCTCTCCAGTATGGATCCTCTGATGTACAATATAGTCAGAGCTACAGCTAAATGCTTTTTCACATTCCATACATTTAAAAGGTTTCTCCCCAGTGTGTATTCTCTGATGCCTAGTCAGTTTGGCATTGATAGTAAAGGCTTTCCCACATTCCTTACATTGATAAGGCTTTTCTCCAGTATGGATTCGATGATGATCAAAAAGGTTTCTTTTTGAAGTAAAGCATTTCCCACAGTCATTACATTCAAAGGGTTTCTCCCCAGTGTGAATCCTCTGATGTTGCATTAGTTTTGCATTAACGTTGAAGGCCTTTCCACACTCATTACACTCATAAGGCTTCTCCCCGGTGTGTATTCTCAGATGCTGCCGCAGCTGGGAGTTACATCTGAAGGCTTTCCCACACTCATCGCATCCATAGGGTTTCTCACCCGTGTGGATTCTCTGATGCTGGATTAACTTCCCTTTGGCACTAAAGGCTTTTCCACATTCAGTACACTCATAGGGCTTCTCACCTGTGTGGATTCTTTGATGCTGAATGAGTTTTGCATTATTACTGAAGGCTTTTCCACACTCCTTACACTGATAAGGCTTCTCCCCAGTGTGGATGCTCTGATGCTGCCTAAGCTGGGAGCTGCACCTGAAGCCTTTTCCACACTCATTACATTCGTAAGGTTTCTCTCCAGTGTGGATTCTCTGATGTTGAATTAATTTGGCATTAACATTGAAAGCTTTCCCACAGTCCTTGCATTCATAAGGCTTTTCTCCAGTGTGGACTCTCTGATGTGTGATATATGCGGAACTACAGCTGAAACCATTTCCACATTCCTTGCACTGATAGGGCTTCTCCCCTGTATGGATTCTCTGATGCCTGCTCAGACTCCCATTAACACTGAAGGCTTTCCCACACACCTTACACTGATAGGGTTTCTCCCCACTGTGTATGGTCTGATGTGTGATGTAATGGGAACTGTAACTGAAGCTTTTCCCACACTCCACACATTTGAAGGGCTTCTCCCCGCTATGAAGTCTTTGATGCCAAATTAATTTTGCATTAACGCTAAAGGCTTTGCCACACTCCTTACACTGATAGGGCTTCTCCCCAATGTAGCTGTTCTGATGCTGAGAGTTACACCTGAAGGTTTCCACTAATTCTTCACATTTAAAAGGTCTTTCCCCAGAATAAATTCTTTCATGCTGAATAAATTTTGTGTCAAAGCTGAAGCCTTTCTCCAATCCCATATGTTCAAGGGGCTGCTCTCCAGTAGTGATGGTGTGACAATGATAGACGTTTGGACTCTGACTAAAGAAACACTCCTCCAAGGGGCTGGTGTCGTCTTTCACTGTTTTGTCAATAACACTGCTGTTTTCTTTCTTCATGCTTCCTACTAAATGGACTTCCTGCTGTTTCTCTAAAATACAGGCTTCTGAAAAGTCTGTTTCCTGGGAAACGTCCCTCTGAAGTTCAAATGATAAATTATGTTTTTCTTTATATATTTCCTTTGTCAAGTTGTCAGTCTGGCTATCAATATCTACTATAAAAACACAGAAAACAAAATATGTAAGAACCATGTTAGGAAAAGGGAAAGAACAGTGGTAAAAGTAATAAAGAATCATAGTCAATCAGGATCTTTTAAAAATCACCAAACTAGGTCAAAGAATCTAAGGTTCATGCATAAGACTGAATAGTATATAGCTGGTTAAAAAAAAAAAAAAATCCATATATGCTGACCTGAAAAGATGTCCAAGATACACTGTTAAATGGAAAACCAAGTTGAGAAATGGATATAAATTAGATTCCATTTGTATAAAGAAAAATAAAATGGGCCAATAAATACGTATAGATTTGTATATGTACGCATAGAAAACTACTGGAAGAATACACAAGAATCTGAGCAAACTGGCACGGGAAGTTTCATAGATTTTTTTCTCCAGTATGCTTTACACAATTTCTGTACAGCTTTGAGCACGAACAATGTAAAAAGATGATGTTCCAATAACATGAAGGTTAAAAGTGACAGCCGTGGAACAAAATCATAGGTCTTCTCTACCAGAAGAGCATTCTTTTCATTGCACCACACTTTACTACACTGCAGTTTTTTTTCTCAGCTGTCCCTTTTTAATAAGAATGGAAACTGCTTACAAAGGAAAAGGCACAGGATCCAACCATTTGTAGCAACACTGAGGGTCGCAGGTGTTTGTAGCACCAGGAAGTGAAAGGGAAATAATTTTATTTCTTTTCTTGGAACTTAAACTCTAGGCTCTCCAAAATGCCTCCTTCACCTTCTGCTTTCTCTGCTTATAAAGGCAATCTTTAGGGGCACCTGGGTGGTTCAGTCAGTTAAGAGTCCAACTCTTTGATTCTGACTCAAGTCATGATCTTAAGCCCACTGGGGATTCTCTCTCTACCTTCTTCTCTGCCCCTCCCCACTGTGCATGTACATGTGCACTCTATCTCTCTCTCTAAAATAAAATAAACATTAAAAAAAAAATACAATCTTTAGGCCCACTTGATCCCTTTGATCCATCTCTCTCCACCCCTCCAGAACACTGCTGCCTTCTCCTTGTCTTTCCTTCTACTTCTTTCCTCAATCCTAAAAGTGATCAGTCCCTAACATGCTTTCTAGAATTCCTACAGTCTCAATAGAGCCAGAGATCTTCCTTTGTTCCCAAATCTCTTAAAATTGGCCTCAAAATGCTGCCTCTATTTTTTCATCTCCCATCTCTCCTCAACCACATTTAATAAATCCCCTTCACCAGTATTTCATTAAATCGACCTCAAAAGATCCAAATGATCTAGATTTCCCTAGCAAGCATTTTCAAAATACTGTTGGTCTTTTCCCAATTATAAAAATAGTATTCATCTCTAATATCAGAAACATGCAAAGAAAAGAATTCAAATTACCTGAAATACAACCACCAAACAACTATAGCTAATCTTCTGATGTATCTCCTCCCTCAACCATTTTGCTTCCATTTTTCTAAAAACATTTTTTCAAAACTGAAAATATCTTTCTTCCCTAACATTAATAAGGATAATTTTCCCGTATCTTTAGATATTCTGTAACAATATATTTTAAATGGCTAAATAAACATTCCATCCTGCAGTGGTTATGTTAATGTAATCAATTCTCTCTATACTGAATATTCATTCAGGTTATTTCCAACATTTTATTATGTAAAATTATAATGAATTTTCGTGCATGTACATTTTTGTCTATATCTCTGATTATTATCAGGATACCCTAGCAGGGAATATCCAGACTATCAAGGGCAAACTGTTAAAAGGCTCTTGATATGTATTGCTAAAGTACTTTCTAGAAAGACTACTGATTCACATTCACCTCCAGAAGTCTATTCCAGTTTGGTGTACTCTCTCCATCACTTACTGTAATTGTTCTCAGTATGAGACAGGGAAACTGGAGGGACTCCATGAAAAACTACTTGTTTCTTTTCCCGCTTCTATCCTTGCTAGGACCTGTACCTCCACTGCATAAATGCCTTATGTATGTTCTTCCTGTAAGAGTCAGGAGTTAATGATTTTATGGACTCTTCCAGCACAGGTGGTAACATCTAAGGAATGACCAAAGGGGGCTGTCATGTACATTTTCCAGACAACTGACTCTAGACATCTTGATGCCAAAACCCCTTGACAGCAGGGAATAAGTGAATTATGGAGGCCACCTGGACACTTGTCTTTGTGCTGACCAGTTCCTGGGTGCCCAAAAAGGACATGTAAACCAGACCCCAATCCTAAATAGAAACCCTAGACCCTGAGCAAAGGAGAGACTCACTCTCCTTTCCTTTCTGAGTCTCCCAGACACTCCATCTGCTATACTCTACCACTTATGCTATTCAGTAAACTCTCCTCTCACTTGCTCCTGGCTCTCATTTGATTTCTACTCTGCTCAACACCAAGGACCCTCTTGGCTGGCCCTGCAGGACCCTCTCTGGGTCTTCAAATCCACTCTGCCTATTTCAAGTATGTTAGGTGAAACATCTCTGTATTTCATTGGTTTCTACTGAGGGTGAAGATTTTTCATTGATTAAAATTTGTACTTCTTCTGTGGATCAAACATTTATATTCTTTGCCAATTTTTCTATACTAGTGACCTTCTATTTGCCAAATCCTACACTGTGGCAGATGCTACCAGTTACTTAACCAATATCTATTCTCCCTTTCTTCCTTACTAGCATGGCCTCCAATTTGTTTGAGGTAGCAACAAAAGCTACAGCTAAAATCTGTATTTTCCACCCTCTCTTGCAGTAGGGGGACCAGAAGACACAGTTCTGGCAAATGAGATTTAAACAGATGTCACTGGGTGGGCCTTCTGCTGACATGGGCCTTGGGCCCTAGACCTTCCCCTCTTGTCTGTCTAAAAGCCATCTGATTCCTTACTCCCTAACAAACACACACTAATTGGATTAATGTTTCCATTCTCAGCTAAGATCATGATGGGTTATTCGAAAACTTCAAAGACTTCAGGATTGTCTGTTGCCTAAGGAATGAAATCCAGACCCCTTTGAGGAGCTCCACAATTATATGGAACTCCCTCCATATTATATGCAATGCACTTTAAACTCTTCATTTTGCAAAACATGTCTTCCTTTGTCAGGGATCATCTGGTTGAATGACTACAAGGAACAAGAATCCACTGAAACTATCTTTTTAAAGAATTCATGGGGCACTTGAGTGGCTTAGTCAGTTAAGTGTCCAACTTTGGCTCAGGTCATAATCTCACAGCTCATGAGTTTAAGCCCCATATCAAACTCTGTGCTGACAGCTCACAGCTTAGAGCCTGCTTCAGGATTCTGTCTCTTTCTCTCTGCCCCTCCCCAATTCATGCTTTGTCTCTCTCTCTCAAAAATAAATAAACGTTACCAAAAAAATTTTTTAAGTATAGTAAATAGGAGGATTCGTTGAAAAGTGACAAGAGAATCTTAGGGACCACAAATGCAAAGAGTAAATGGGAAATCACAAGAAATGGGAAACCATCTGGCAACTACTCTGGTTAAGCCAATGAGAAGCTTGTCACTTCAAGTATGGTCTGGGAAACAGATACATAGGCAGAACCTGAAAATTAACAGAAATGTAGACTCTTGGCCCCATGCCAGACTTGCTATATGACAATATGCATATTTACAAAACACCCAGAGGTGATTCATTTGCACATCATTTGAGAAGCCCTGAACTGAAAGTACTTCCTTCTGTCTTATTTCCCACAGCTTAAGCGGTCTTCTCAAAAAAAAAAAAAAAAAAAATTAATAAAAACGAATATTTCACTGAGCATGCACTATAAGTTAGAAACTTAATATGTATTATCTCATGTAATCCTCAACCCACAAGACTAGCACTGTTCTCATTTTATTTTTCCATTTTCAGGGATAAAAACATTGAATCTTAGAGAACTCAAATAACTGACCTGCTCAAAGTCACAACTAGGAAGTTCTATAACTAGGAATAGCAGTTGGGGCTAAACCTCAGGGAAGTCTACCTCAAAGACTGTACTTTTTTTTTTTTTTTTTATGTTTTATTTATTTCTTAGAGAGAGAGAAGGGTAGCGTGAGCAGGGGAGGGTGACAGATAGAGGGAGATATAGAATCCGAAGCTCCAGGCTCTGAGCTAGCTGTCAGCACAGAGCCCGACGCGGGGCTTGAACCCACGAACCGTGAGATCATGATCTGAGCCGAAGTGGGACGCTTAACTGACTGAGCCACCCAGGCGCTCCCAACGACTGTACTTTTAAGTGCCAGGATATTCTGCCTTTCTGTACAATGAGACTGTTAAGTCTCCATCCATCACATTAAGCGTACAATGTTTAGAAAGTAGCAAGCATTATGTGGAAACTAATTTGACAATAAACTATTTGTAAAAAAAAAAAAAAAAAAGAAAGAAAAAAGAAAGTAGCAAGCATCCCAAAATACTGAATCCATTCAATTCATCTGAAGAAGGCAGAATTTCAAAATTAGGACTGAAAAGAATTAGAATAAGGCATTTGAAAAAAGATCTGTTCTTTAAATGAGAAAGAAAAGGCAAACGGCAAAAATAATCAAGTCTCAAGTGTACACATCTCTATAAATCATTAATATTATTTAAATTTTACTCCCTACAGCTGGCTCATAAATGTGGCGTGCTTATATGATGCTAATGTTGAGTTTATTCCTAAAGAGTTAAACCCCCTTACCAGTCCAGACGCCCTGGGAGATTATTTCTGTTCCAGCCACCAATGGAGATGGGTCCCCCAGCTCACCTGCTCCCTCCAAATGCAAGATCACAGCAGGTTTAAGAAGCGAAAATCCTGTTTAGGGGGAAAGAAAGAGAAGAGATAGTCTTGGCAATGGGAAGGGAAAATAAGAGCCTTGTAGGGGATCCCATGCCTGAAGACAAAGGGAAAGAGAGGACTGGCTTGGAAGGTGGGGGGGGGGGGGGGGGGGGTCTGAGGGGGGAGGTGCTTGAGAAGGTGTGGGAGGAGTTGAGAATGGCCTGGACTGTAGGCCCAGAAGACCAAGATATGCAGGTCAGATGAGGGTAAACTTGAAGATAACGCTGTGGAACAGTAAATTTCTTTTCTCTACACTGTATCCAAACCACAACTTCTAGAGGGTGGATAAAAAGTGTACACTAGTCCCAGAAAAGTCCTATACTGGCCCAATAAGGGCTTAGGGTTCACTCTTCCCAGCAACCCCTAACTCAAAGGGGATTAGGAATCTCAGCCCCTGGGGTTCCCACTGAGTAAAGGATTACTACAGACCCCACCTGCAGCCTGTCAGGGGTCAATAAGCCAGGAAACCCCAATTGGCAGAGTCTGGGTCCCAGGGGGAGAGAGGCCTTACCCAAGGAGGCCACATTCCTATAATTCTCCAGCATCACATCCCTGTACAGGGCCCTCTGTGCGGGGGACAGGCCATCCCATTCCGTCTGGGTGAAGTACACAGCCACGTCCTCGAAGGTCACCGACTTCTGAAACAACAGGTTCCTGCTGCCCTAGGGCCAGTTCCATGGCTCAGGCCCTAGGTGAGGGGCAGAGGGCAGTATAAGGGCTTGGGGAGGGGCTTGTGAAGAGCACAAAATTAATAATAAGGGGAAAGGTTTGAGAAAAATCACTTGGAGAGTAAACCATGGAGAACTATCTGACTTCTCTAATGGGAGGGAAACCTCATGTCGTATTTTACATTTATAGAAGATATCCTAAGTTGGGAAGACAGAAAAACATTCCCATAATTAAGTTCCCCCAAAGCAACTCCATTCTTTCTGCTAGGCCACGTCCTCAGGGGCAGATGCTGCTCAGGTCTTGCCCACCAGCATGCCCACCCTGATCCCCACCCCCGTAAACCTCCAGCCACCCCCAGAGAACAGCTATGGCCTCCATCTCATCCAGTCCCTGTCTATCACCGGATTCCTATTACTAACCCTGCCATGAGGGGCTGTGCAACTGCCTGAGCACCTCCAGCAGCTCAGTGCTGCCCAGACTGGCTGAGGCAGAACAGCAGCCCATTCTGCTTCCAGCTGAGTCTCATGAAAACCTGATATTTTGTTACAGGCTCCCATTAGGCTTCATCCTCTCTCCAACTTCACCCAAGAACTCACTGTTTCTCCAGGGTTTGGGAAAGAAGGGAGATCAGCCTTCCCAGTGGCCAGCTGCTCCACCACCCTTCCAAGCTTCTCGTCTCTGCATCACTACGCCCTGTGCCCAGCACGGCCCTGCATCAGGGTTGACGCCTCCCTTCTGGGTAGCTGCAGCCTCTGGTCATGCTTTCTCCCTGCCCACCTCAGTCTTCTGTAATAACTGGAGGATGCACTGGCAGGGATATATCCTCAATTCCTCTCCGCCAGGATCCGTCTTGTTTGATTCTACTGACCTCCGCCCATCAACAATCGTAGTCCAATCACTGGGTGAGTCTGCGAGTCATTTCATCTGTGACCTTGGACAGGCCAAGGAACTTCTCTCCACTAAATTAAATACCTTCACTGCCCACCACCACCACCCTTTACCTCAGTAAGTTGGCGCCTCTTGAATTCAACCCCCACCACCCCACCCTCACCACCTGTGCAGGAAACCTCAGCTAGAATCCTAGGGATTGTTCCTGACTCCTCCCTCTCCCTTACTTTACCTCTAATCTTTGACTCTCTACATCCTAAAGATTTTATTAAGCATTACTTGAATTGGGTTCTTTTTCTTTAACATCTACTTTCCTTGATGAAGCCCATGTCACCTGGTCCAATGGAATTCTTTCTGAAGTGGTCATCTTCCTTTCGAATCACCCTAAAAATTATTCCCTGCACAGCCATGACAAATCTGATCACATTAACATCACTGATTGCACACGTCACAGGGATGAGTAGTAAAAATCCACATAATGGCTGTGTGACCATGGGCAAGGCACTTTGCTCCCCTTTGCCTTCCTGTGTTTTATAGCAGAGTGGCCACAACACAGCACCTATGTCAAGGGCAGGAGTCAAGACTGAGCGATCCATGCAAGTGCTTAGTATTATGCCTGCAGCATAGCGAGCCTCAAACAATGCTACTGGAATTACTATGATTATTCCCAACCTGTAGTCCATGGAGGTCCATGGATGTGCTTCAGGGCATCCGTAAAGTCCCTGAAATTGTACGGAAAATTTGGTTTGAATGCTTATTTTTCTGAGGGAGGGGGAGGGCCCAGAGCTCTCATCAGAGACCTAAAGTTTGAGCCCCTGCACCTAAGCCCTGAAAGCCTCTCCAGAACATAAGACATCCTGTCCCATAGGACTTCCTGTCTTCTTCCTTCTCCAGACCCCACTGCCCTTGTTGCTGCACCATGTTAGAGGCACAGCCATCCTCTGTGTTGATCTGGTCCTCCTACTTCTCTTCGCCTATGTTCTGGTCCCTGGGCATCCTAACCCGGGGCTACCCTCCTCCATTCACATCTGTGCATGGGGCACCCTCCACAGGCAGCTTCCTGTTCCCTATTCATCAGAGGAGTAAAGAACCTCAGTATGCAGAACACTTCACCCCTGCCTTCGAGGATGCTTTCCTGCTGCTTCCATCCCCTCACGTCACTGCTCTTCCCAGGAGTTCCAGGCAGAAGCGAGGAGGACCCCACCAGCTTCGATCACAAAGCTCACCAGCTTCCCTCCTCTGTTTTCTTCAATGTGAAACTGTTCAGAGGAAGAACTGAAGGACCCACAGCTCACCTGGGGCCAGGCTGTCATGAGCATGGTTGCCATCACCTGCTCTCCCTCAGAGAAGGGCTGGAGCTGAGGAAAAAGAGAGAGACAGGGGTGAAGTAAACCCCGCCCCCGCAGGAACAACACAGCCCCTCAGAGAAGATGTAAGACACAGGCAGTCAGTGTCCAGACGGGAGTGCAAGTGGGAGCTGCCACAGGAAGAAGGGGGTGATCCAGTACCCAGGACCCTTCCCAGCCATGACACTGATGCTCAACGCCAAGAACCCTAGGATTTTACAATTCTGACACATGTCACATACACAAGAGAAAACATAAAATGTATACAGAGCCTAAAGAATAATAAAACAAAGCAACAATTCAGCTCAAGAAATAGAACATTACCAAAATCATGGACTTATTTCTTCTCTCAACAAGGATCATCCTTGATTACACTGCAAGGGAAGCCAGGCCAGCATGGCTGCAGCCCCAGCACAGAGACCTCAGAGTCATGCCCCAGGGAACTGGAGGAGACAGCTGTTCCCCTACATCCCGTCTGCCCCCTTACATAACTGAGTATTCTCAAGAGCTCTGAGACCTCTGTAGAGATGTCGGGAGGCCAGCCTCCCACATGACCCAGGCTTACCTGTGAGGTCCCATACTGCCTCCTCATGCTCTCCAGCCCTCTGATAGTGAAGAAACCAGTGCCTCACCTCTCTGAGGGGGGGGAACTCTCTTATCTAGAGTCCCATGACCCAGCCCCCCTTGTTCAATGTATTCAAAACACATGGACTGGTTATTTTCTGGTTCCTGCTCCCAAAGTCAGTCTTGAAAACATGTGTTTTCCTAAAATATCAATCTATGTCTTCTAGGATTTCACTCTAGTGCAAAATTGTGGAAAATACTGGTTCATGATTCTTTCCATTTCCTCCATTACCTGGAGCTACTTTGTTTTTCCCACTTCTTTTGAATATGTGTGCTCTCTAGACCCTTTCCCCTTTGTTACTGTTATGGATGGAACATGCCCTCTCCCCCCCCCCCCAAATTCATATGATGAAGTCCTCTCCCCCAACATGATATTTGGATATAGATCCTGTGAGGTAATCAGGTTAAACAAAGCCATAATCTGTTAGGGCTGGTGGCCCTACAAAAAAGAGGAAGAGACACCAGAGTTCATTTTCTACCACATGAGGATACAGTGAGAAAACATCTGTAATCCAAGGAGAGCCCTTATCAAAAACCAAATTGTGTGGCATCTTAATCTCGGGCTTCTAGCCTCCAGAATTGTGAGAAATAAATTTCTGTTGTTTAAGCCAGACAACCTATTGTATTTTGTTATGGCAGCCTGAGCAGACTAATAAATTCAAGTAGAACAATGGTTTGTCTATTTGAATGCTGTTTTCTTTTTAAAGAACAAGCTTTTCTATTTAGAACATCACTCTTCTCTTTGCTTCATTACATTCTGCTTTCTTTGTTTCTTTAGCTCTGTAAGAGACACTTTATGTGCCACTCCAAATCCTCCTCTGGTCTCAGTCCAGTTCCAGAGGCTTTGATCAGTCTTGCGCAGGGACAACCTACCAATGCCTCCTCAAGGATCTATACCACATGTAGTTGGCTCCTGCCCTGGGGCTCCTCTGGCGTCCTGTGTGGGACATCTGCAGATACCTGTGGATACCTGCTAGGTCCTGAAACACAGAGGAGTTAATGCTTGTGAGGCCACCCTTAACCAGTAGGGGACAGAGGTCAATGGATAAATATTTTCCCCTTTAGTCCTCTACATTAGTAGCCATGAGATTCCAAGGCTCCTCAAAGATCCTGCAAGACTGAGCACCAGGTGCCTGTAGATAGGCCAGCCTGACAATGCATGCTTGTATTGGCTCTCCCTCTTCTGTTTTACTCTCCTTCTCGTTCACTCTGCCCTTGGAATACATTTCCAAATAAAGTGCCTGCACACAAACCCTCTGTCCTGTGTTTTGCTCTTGGGGGAAGCTAGGCTATCAAAGGGTTTTTTTTCTACCTTCCTCAGGATGCATGATTTATTCATTTATGTTCATGTTCCTATTTAGCAATTAAAATCTATATGGCCACAAATTTTCCCTCTGAATACACCATTAGCCACATGCCAGAGGTTTTTTAAAAAATATTTTAGGAGGGTGACTGGGTGGCCAGTTGGTTGAGCGTCCAACTTCAGCTCAGGTCATGATCTCATGGTCTCTGAGTTCGAGCCCCTTGTTAGGCTTGTCCTGACAAACAGCTCAGAGCCTAGAGTCTGCTTCAGATTCTCTATCTCCCTCTCTCTCTGCCCCTCCTCTGCTAATGCCCTGTCTCTCAAAAATAAATAAATGTTAAAAATTTTTTAAAATATTTTACATTTTAATTATACTAATTATATTTTACAGCTGGTCAGCAATAAACAGCTGGTGTTTTGTCTCTGACCAGAGAACTGTTTAGAATAGTTTGTTATTAATGCCTCCTCTGTTCATAATTTCTGGCTTTACTGCATGTGTTTATAACCTGATCTGTTTACTTCTGCTTTACAAAGTTTTGAGGGCCTTTTTTTTTTTCCTAAAGTGCCTAAAAAATATTCTACGGATGCTTAAAAAGAAAACCTATTCTATAACAGAAGAACATAAAATTCTATTTCAATCTAATAAGTCAACTCTACTCGTTTTATTATGTAGATATTTTTCTGTAATCCATGATCACTTTTACCTAATTAAACTGAGATAGCCAGTAAAGAGCAAACGTTCACAAAACACTGAACCCATATGTATCATGAAGAAATCTTTTCAAGTCTTTAAGAAATGAGTAATTCTAACACTGCTGAAACTGTAGAAGAGAACAGCAAAACAAGTTTCCCAGTCCTTTTTATGATGCCAGCACAATACTGATATAAAAACGACACACTAATCTCATTTATGAATACTGACAGAAAAATCCCCACTATAAAGGAATAGACTCCAGTAGTTCATTAAAGCGACGTGCCATGACTAAAAGGGACCATCCCAGGAACGCAAGTGAAGCTCAGTATCAGGATCCAGATTACTATACTTTTCCACATGAATAAATCAAAGATAAATACACTCTCCAACCTAACAGATGCCAAAGGCATTTAATCAAATTCGATATTCATGCCTAAATTTTAATTTTATGTCCTAGAGAAAATACATACAAAATTATTATCAGTATTTTAATAACAAAAAAATAGAAACAACCTACATACCCACTGAGAATACATAAATTGTCCTATCTTTTTTAAAAAATTTTAAAAATGTTTTACAATTCATAAAAAATGAAAGACAAAGTGTGAGTGGGGGAAGAGCAGAGACACAGTGAGACACAGAATGAAGAGAGAGACAAAGTATGAGCAGGGGAAAAGCAGAGAGAGAGTGAGACATAGAATCCAAAACAGGCTCCAGGCTCTGAGCTGTCAGCACAGAGCCCGACATGGGGCTCAAACTCAGTGACCTGAGCCAAAGTCAGATGCTCAACTGACTGAGCCACCCAGGTGCCCTGTCCTATCATTTTTTAAATGAACATTACTCCCTCCCCCCCAAAATGAACATTACCCAGCAGCAAAAATGAACGGCTCACAATTACACACAACAACACAGATAACTTCAGGAACATATTATTGAGTTACAAGAGGGGCACCTAGGTGGCTCAGCTGGCTAAACGTCAGTCTTTTCTCTCTTTCTGCCCCTTCCTGTACACACATGCATTCTCTCTCTCTCTCAAAAAAATTAAATTTGGGGCGCCTGGATGGCTTAGTCGGTTAAGCGTCTGCAGTCAGCTCAGGTCATGATCTCAAGGTTTGTGGGTTCGAGCCCCGTGTCGGGCTCTGTGCTGACAGCTAGCACAGGGCCTGGAGCCTGTCTTCTCATTCTGTGTCTCCCTCTCTGACCCTCCTCTGCTCATGCTGTCTCTATCTCTCTCTCAAAAATAAATGAAAGATTAATTAAAAAAAAATTAAATTTAAATAAAATGATAAAAATAAAAATGTTCTTTTAAAAAGACTGAGTTAGGGGCGCCTGGGTGGCTTAGTCGGTTAAGTGTCCGACTTTCCGACTTTCGCTTAGGTCATGATCTCGCGGTTTGTGGGTTCGAGCCCCGCGTCGGGCTCTGTGCTGACTGCCAGCTTGGAGCCTGGAGCCTGTTTCAGTCTGTGACTCCATCTCTCTCTGACCCTCCCCTGCTCACGCTGTCTCTCTCTCCTAGAAATAAATAAAACATTTAAAAAAAAAATTAAAAAAAATAAAATAAAAAAAATAAAATAAAAAGATTGAGTTATACAAGTCCCAGATGACTATAGACACTATGATGTCATTTTCATAAAGCTCAAAAACAAAATTAAACATACTGTTTACAGACATATTTTATGCGATAACATTATTTTATAAATAGGTAAGATGATGATTAATACAAAATTCAAGCCAGTTGTTACCTCTAGGGGTAAGAAGTTAGGAGCTGGGTTGAGAAGTAGCACACAGACAGATGCAACAGTACTGGAAATGTTCTCCTCCTTAATGGGGTGGTATGTTCATGGGTGCTCATTTTACCATTCTTTTTTTTTTTTTTTTTGAGAGTCAAAGAGATACAGTGTGAGCAGGGGAGAGGCAGAGAGAGAGGGAGGTACAGAATCCGAAGACAGGCTCCAGGCTCTGAGCTACCTGTCAGCACAGAGCCCGATGCAGGGATCTAACTCACGAACTGCAAGACCATGACCTGAGCCAAAGTTGGATGATTAACCGACTGAGCCACCCAGGCGCCCCACCATTATGCTTCTTAAATGCCATGCTAGGTGTAGTCTTCAGGATACATGAATAACATTTTTTAAAAAGATACTTATCTCTATGATATGGGGTGATTTCCAGAATATATCTTCAAATGAAACCAGCAAATGTAAAAGGTACCTTGTGTACCAAAAAATGGGAGTATAAGAAAATACATGTGAATCTGGTCATTTGTACGGAGGGGGGGAGGGGGAGGGGTGGGGGAGGGGGAGGGAGATAAATCAGAAACTAAGGAGAATGGCTGCCTCAAATGTGGGTAGGAAGTGAAAGGAGCCTGTGATGGAAACAGGATGGAATGAAATAGGTTAGATGAGATCGGCAAGGGAAAGGGGGCCACGACAGGCTTATCTGAGTGTTCCTTTTTTGTTCTGACGCTCATAACCATAGTAATGTTTCACATATCCAGACATTATATACATCCAGACATTAAATCAACCAGCCAGAATGGATTGGGGTGAGGAACCAAAAAAGAATACAAACAGCAGCAAATGAGCCAAACTATACTACAATCAACATAACCACACTGAAGTGGTGGGAAAGAAAAGAACTAAATAACTTTGGAAAACAGTATTTTAACTAGATACTGTAGGCTAAAAAAACCTGTGCCCAAATGCCTCTTGAGGATACATGATTTATTAATTCATTTCATTCTTCTCTATTTGCCAATTAAAACCTATTAAGGCCATAAATTTTCCTCTGCAAAAACTACTAGCCACATTCCAGAGATGTTTTACATATATATATTTCATGATTTAATTACTATTTTATAATTTAGTGTAGTATATCAGTAAAATTACTTTTCATAAGGGTATGAATGACCAATTCTAGGGCTATTTTATGTGTATTCTAGGACTTCGCAAATAAGTGATTATAAATGTTTTTAAGTGTTTTATTTATTTCTGAGAGAGAGACACACACACACAGTGTGAGCAGAGGAGGGTCAGAGAAAGAGGGAGACACAGAATCTGAAACAGGCTCCAGGCTCTGAGCTAGCTGTCAGCACAGAGCCCGACGCGGGGCTCGAAACCACAAACTGTGAGATCATGACCTGAGCCGAAGTCGTCGGACGCTTAACTGACTGAGCCACCCAGGCACCCCTCAAATAAGTGATTATAAATCATCCCCAGATCATAGTCATCCCAACCGCCCGGGAGTAGGGCCAAGTTACCTTTTGGAACTGTCCAGAAGACAGAAGCCCAAAAGCCGGGCTGGTTCTGCTCCCGGGTGACTGAGAGGGCTCTGCTTTTTCTGAGCTCCCACTGAACCCTGATTCCGACCCTATGTTATGAGTCAGGAAGCTTACGGTCCATACTTGAAATGCAGATAGGTAAGAGCCCCTGTACGACTTCAACATGTCAAAACACTCGTGGTATCACCTCAAGCCGCTTCACTCCTGCAAATATTCCACCTCCTGGCTGCTCCGACATATCTTCCCAAAAGGTCAGTAGCATCTTCTCCGAACAAAATGCTAAATGCTCAGGGCTCCGATGGTAATTGAGGCTTCGCCTTCCACGGGATGGAACGTATTCGGCCACCAAGCCCAAAGTGGGAGTCGAGGACCGCAGGTCGCCGTCCTACCCCCTCCTGCGCGCGCCGGAGACTTAGCCCCACAGCACCCACAGCGACCCTCCGGGGCACCGCCCCCGCCGCCTGCAGCCCCACACTCACCTCCGCACCAGGAGGCTCCGCGGCGCGGCCGGAAGTGCGTCACCAGGCCACAGCCGGGCCTCTCGAGGAGCAGCGTAACGCCCCTTCCGTAGCGCTCCGGCCCCGCCCCTGAAGCTTGAGTCTCGGTGCCGGAGACTCCAGCGCCCAACGCGCTAGTCCCGCGGGTCCGAGCTTCGGGGCAGTTGGTCCTCGAGGTGGGCTGGGGAAGAGTAGGAGCCGGCGCTGCATTCACCCCGGGGCATGACGCCAGGGATCTGTATCTTTGTAAAGCTCCAGGTCCTACCGGATTTGGGAGTTTCAGACTGGCCTGTGGATGGATCACACGCTGTCAGACCTAAGGCAGCCTTTTGGTAACAATTCCTAGTGACTGCTTTATTCTCCTGTCACGAAACCACTTGCATTTAAAAAAAAAACTAATATTATGCTTTAATAGAGGAGATACAATACACATTTCAGTATGCAAATATCTGATCACGATTGCTATAGGAGACCTAAATGGAAGTGTCGGATATTTGCCTTTTCACATGGAATGTACCTGATCGCCACAGCCAGAATGCACCAAAATCTTACACTGCTGTTTCAAAAACTCACAACGTATGATCCAAAATGGTGAACACTTTTTGGTAAAGTTTAAGTGAAACAGTACAGTCTTTTGATTTTACAGTAGTTATACTCCTGGAGAATCAACGTATGTTAAAACGGTGTAGAAGTCGTTGTGTTTAGGGGCACCTGGTTGGTTCAGTCAGTTAAGCGTCTGACTGGCCCAGGTCAGGATCTTGTCGTCACTGGCAGTGCAGGGCCTGCTTGGGATTCTCTCTCCCTCTCTCCCTCTCTCCCTCTCTCCCTTTCCCTTTCCCTCTCTTTCCATCTGCCCCTCCACCACTTATGCATGAGCACACTCCTGTGCTCGCTCGCTCGCTCTCTCTCAAAAAAATTAACTTAAAAAAATTAGTTGTGTTTAGCTGAAAAGCAGTTTCTAGAATCAGGTCATTTATAAGCATTTTTACCTACATGAATGTCCTGAAAGTCTGTGAAAACTGTTTCAAATAGGCAGAACCCTTCTGGACCATCCTTAGGTTCTGATCCCACGATGCTACAGCACTGTAATGTGATTGGCAGCATGGCCCTACCCACCACTCCAGCCTCTCTTAGCACTCCCATTTTCCTCCTCTATCAACTTCAGGCACATGTGCTGAACATAGTGTTGTCTAAACCCAGAATACCCTTCCCACTCTCCAATCTTGACTGTTCCTTTAAGTCTCTGCTCAAATCCCATTTCCCTTGGAAAGCAAGCCCTTCCTAAGCACCCAGAATAAGGCAGGTCCCCTCAGTTACATGCCATCATAGCACTCTGTATTTCTCCGTACTTGGCACATGTGTGCTTTTTTAATGATAACAGTTTATTTAACTTATCTGCTCACTCCAGAAAGCAGGGTCTATATCTAGTTCACACCATTATCCTCAGGTAAGCACAATGCCTGGCATAAAGGAAGAATGCAACAAACATTTGGTGCTGACATCGTCCAAAGGCTCCAACCCCAAATCCAGAGTAGAACCCTTCTTCATTTCTCTGTCACTGGAGGTAAGATATATATATATATTATGCCTAGAATCATAACATTGACCAGGAGCCCTTCTCAGTTTTGCCTTGACCTTGATCATCACTGTTTCCTAAAATGAGCACTTACATAGCTCCTCTTGTTCAGATAGAAAAATGGTCCCAGGATTCAGAAGAGTGATAGCTGGGGATTACATGGTTCTTGGCATTAAGTTTTCTTTTGCTTGCTTGTTTTGTTGTTGTTGTTGTTTTCCTTTAAAAAATTTTTTTATGTTTTTTATTTATTTCTGAGAGAGAGACAGCATGAACAGGAAAGGGTCAGAGAGAGAGGGAGACACAGAATCTGAAGCAGGCTCCAGGCTCTGAGCTGTCAGCGCAAAGCCTGACACGGGGCTTGAACCCACGAACCGTGAGATCATGACCTGAGCCGAAGTTGGCCGCTTAACCGACTGAGCCACCCAGGCACCCCGTTGTTGTTTTCCTTTAGAAGACCTTTAGCTAGGACTGAGGGCTTGACTAAAGAAATAGGAAGGAATGAGGAGATCACAATGTCACAGAAATGCTGGGCCCAAATGTTGCATCATGAATCAGTCACTAATCTTACAGATAAGAAAATAAGGCCTCCTAAGTAACCTGAAGCTCTGACTCCTAAGTGTACAAGGACAGACACACACCAAGTTACAAAAGGCCTGCAGAAGCAGACACTATTTTTCTGTTAATCTCTATTGTTCCTTTATATAGTCACAAAATCTATAGCAAGCCAAAGACAGTCCTGAAACAATAACATACTTCCTGGTCCTCTTTAAATCAAAGTGTAACAACAGGACCAACTTCTGATAAATAGACTATAAGAAAAAGTGATGCCATGTCCTTAAAGAGAAGGAACATGCATTTCCTGGCCTAGTATCCATCAGCTGGGTGGAAAGCTGAGAAGGGGGTGAGCATCTTGAACCATGTGAATGAGGATGTGGCTCCTGAGGATCACATAGCTGCTGGGTGGTATCATAAAGCTGCTGTACCAGCCCCAGACTGCTTAACTTCAGTGATACATAAGCAAGAAATAAGTTTTCATCATGCTTAACAACACTGATTTGGGTTCTTCACATCAATATCCAAGGCCATAGCCTTAGTAACACCCCTAGGAATGAGGTAGGATGGAAAAATCATACACACATACTTAAAACATACATAAAAATTTAGATTGGTTGTCATATTTCGCTGCTCTGGAAGTCCCATCTCTGTTCTGGGGCTGCAGTCATGTTTCCCTCTGCTCAGCTCTAAGTATCCTCTGTCCCTACAATCCTAGAGCCTCCCTCAAACCTCTCCTCCTTGCCCACCAGAAGAAACTGACAAATCTTCTCATGTTAAAAAAAAAAATGTTTTTGGTGTTTCTAGTTTTAAGATGACATAGAAAAGTTTGTTCTACCTGCTTCTCTTGAAAATTGTGGGAAAACAACAAAGTCTGTTTGGGGTTCATTCCAAGAATTCAAGAATGTTTTAATATTATAAAAATTCCCTTTACTTATTATGGATTAACAAATCACTCAACCTACTAGGTGGAGAAATAGGGCAGGGAGAGGTCTTATTCACAAAAACAACCAAAAAACTTAAGAACAAACTTAATAATAAATGTTTAAGACATAGATGAATAAAAATTTAAATACTCAGGGACTAAACCAACAACAATAAAAACTTGCATATGGAAAGGCAGAGGTAATTTTTCAAAGAAAGGGCACTCATCTTGATTTGACCTGGAAGTCCAGTTTCAAACAATTTTGAAAAAAAAAAAAAGAAGAAGAAAGTGGGGGGAAATGTTCTGCCCAAATAAAACTATACTAGGATTTGTTTGGAGTCTTGTGAAAATGATTCTAAGGTTTATCTAAGGGAAACAATGTTACGGGGCGCCTGGGTGGCTTAGTCGGTTAAGCGTCCGACTTTCGCTTAGGTCATGATCTTGCGGTTCGTGGGTTCGAGCCCCGCGTCGGGCTCTGTGCTGACTGCCAGCTCAGAGCCTGGAGCCTGTTTCAGTCTGTGACTCCCTCTCTCTGACCCTCCCCTGCTCACGCTGTCTCTCTCTCTCTCTCTCCTAGAAATAAATAAAAACATTAAAAAAAAATTTTTTTTAAAAAAAAAGGGAAACAATGTTATATATTTTATATTTATATGTTATATATTTTATATATTACATATAATTTCACAAGGTATTATTAAAACTTAAAAATACAAAAGGACTGAAAGTTAAAGATATTACAAGTGTTAAGCGAAAGGAAAAATGGTATTAATCATATTAATATTGTAATGATTTTGAGACAAAAAAATTTTGAGACACTGTCTCTGCTCCCTTCTTTCTCTCAAATATAAATAAACATTAAAAAATAAAAGAGAAAGAAAAAAGGAACACAGACAAAATTAAAAATTAATGAACACTAACAAAACACGTACATTTGAATATTGAATATTGACCACAAAATGCTGATGAATGAATCTAAACAAATGGGGATAAATATCAGGTTCATAGATAGGAAGATTTAGCATAAGAAAGATGTGAGCTCTCCTCAAACTGATATACAGGTTTAATGCAATTCTTATCAAAATTCCAGCAGACTTTTTGAAGATATAGACAAGATTATTTTAAAATCTATATGGAAAGGCAAAGGATCTAGAATGAATAAGTCAGCTTGAAAAAAGGAGAGTAACATGGAAGGAACTGGCCTATCCAATTTCAAGTCTTATTATGTAGCTATAACAATCAAGACTGTGTGTTATTGGCAGAGGAATATACAATAGATAGATCAATGGAAAAGAATGAAGAACTCAGAAGTAGATCCATACAAATATGCTGAACTTATTACTATTATTATTTTACAAAAGTGCACAAGCAATTCAATAGAGGAAAGATGGCTTTTTCAAAAAGCAGTGGTGGAGCAACTGGGCATCCATAGGGAAAAAAATGAATCCCATCCTTAGCATCACAACTTATAAACTCAAAATGGATCACAGACATTAATGTAAAATGTAAAAATGTAAGTGTAAAATGTTTATAAATAAATGAAAGAAAATCTTTAGGGCCTGGGGCTAGGCAAAGAGTTCTTAGACCTAACACAAAATGTATTAGTCATAAGAGGAAAAACTGTAGACATCATCAAAATTTAAAAAATTTTTACGCAAAAGATCCTGTTAGGAGGATGAAAAGACAAGCTATAAAGTAGGAGGAAATATGTGCAAATCACATATCCAAGAAGTACTAGCACATACTTCATAATATGTGGGCAGAGGGGAGAGTGGGCATAATATATGGGCAGTGGGGGAGGGGCACAGAGAGAGGAGAAAGAGAATCCCAAGCAGGC